CAGCCAAGGAGCAGGTTAGAGGTTGGTGGAAAGAGGGTCACTGAGAGGCCACAGCAGGGCTGGAGGGCACTCGGGCTAAACTGACCCATGGGGAGCACTGCCGGCCCAGCCTCTCACCCAGAGCTCCTGCCCTCAGCCTCTAGCCAGAGGACTCCCCATCTCAGCAGAGCTCAGCTCAGTGGGCACGGGCACGATGCAGAAATCCTTAATTTCTCAGATTAGGCGATGGCTGAATTATAAACACGTGTGAGACCATGCACCTCCACTTCCCAGCGTTCTGTATTTTACAATCATTTCATTGATCTACTTCCCGGATTCAACTGTATACTCCAAGAGGGCAGTGACTAGAAGAGCTTTACCTGTCCCGGCTTAACTACTGTGCTCCCGGCACGTGCATAGCACACAACTGACGGTTTTAAAAGTCACGGAGGCCCCAGGTGGGAGGGGAGAGGAGGCCCAGGTGGGAGGGGGAGGGGGGGAGGTCCCTCGGGGGACGAGGTCCCCAGGTGGGAGGGGAGAGGAGGTCCCACAGGGAAGTCCAGGGCCTCAGGTGGAGGTCAGTGGTGGGAGGAGAGAGCAGGTCCACCACCCCTAGGTCGTGGAAGCCTAGACGGGAGGGGACAGATCACGTGGGGCCTCTGTGTCCAAAGCTGGCCACCATCCAGTGAAAACCTCAAGCTCACCCGATTCTCCCAGGCCTCAGCGTGGAGCCTCTGAGGGGGGAGGTCCCTCCTCCCTCCCCCTACCCCGACTCACCCGCACTTGGCTTTGTAGCTGCCGGGTCCGCTGCTCCCAGAAGCCCCCCCACCGCCCGCCCCCGGCCGGCATCGCCTCTGCTTCTGGCCTCCTCTCACCGCACCCAGTAACCGGCGCAGGTGCAGGCGTTGGGGAGCGAGAGAGGGTGGCTCGAGGCGGGAGCCAGGGGCAGCGGGAAGAAGCAGGAAGACCCGGGGGAGGGGGCCGGTGTCCAAGCGTTGAGGAAAGTTTCATGCCTTCTGAATCCCAGGCCTCGCTGGACCACGGCCCCGCCTGGTTCTCCTGTAACTTGCGGAGTTCCTGGACCGGCGCTTCCCAGAGGCGCGGCTGAGTCCCGGAAGCAGGACCTGAACCTGGAAGAGGAGGGGCAAGCAGCTTCCTGCTTCCTCCTCCCGCACACTGCAGAGGGAATGGCCCCCACTGCCTCCTCCTCCCCGCACACTGCGGGGGGAATGGCCCCCACTG